TTTTTTTTTTTTTTTCTTTTTTTTTTTTTTTTTTAAATCTAACGCAAACAAGAAACCATTAGGGCTTGTAGCAAAATGAGAAGGTTAAAACACAGCATTTCCCCCACTCCACAGGCAAAGCCACCCCTGTGGCACTCGTCAGGACACAGATGCCAAATGCTACTTGCATACGGTAGCTTTGTACACAGAGTAGCTTCGAAGAGCCGTAGACATAAGCAACACAGTATACAGCGAGAAAAGTTGTGCCTACTGATCCTCACGATACTCTCACAGACCCTGGAGTCTTTTCTACTTCCATAAGCTCCTGCTTCCCACTTCCCCTTTTTCAACCAACTCAAGAATCTGAAATTCTTCAGGAAAAAAAGGCATCGTGGTGGCGCGATTCCGACAAATCCTTGCAAGTTCCATCAAAACTAACTAAACTCTTGATCCGAATTTCCCTCAGGCAACGGACAACTCCAGCTTTATTAATACAATCTGAACTTGAAGCAGTTTTTCTGTTGATACCCATCTCCTACCTATTCGAGTATTGGCAAATACATCAGCTAGTGACCCACTGGTCCCTTTGCCTTCTCCATGGGAAAGTGTAGAAGATGCTGATGAAGATGTGGATGACCCCTGAATAGATCGGTTGATCCAAGACTCAGCATTCTGTAAGCTCTGATGCAATGCAGCAGAAAGAGCAGCCTGGCGCCTTAGCGACCCCTCATCCTCGGATGCGGAAGACGTGTCTGTGTGGAAGCAGAAAAGAAAATCTAGCTGCTTAGGGAAAAGCACATTGCACTGAACATGCTCTCTTTCCAATTCACATATCAATGGCACAGGCTTGTAAAAACGAAGATCTTCTTTTCACAGGCTTTGTCAAACAAGGTTACACTGGCCAGAACAGAAGTTAAAGCAGCAGACATCTCCAGTGTGAACACATTTACCCCTGGTGCTTTGCCCCTGTTTAAAGCACACAAAAGATTCACCTCCTCAGACAAGTATCCTTCCCCTGGGTTCTCCAAGATTATTAACTTATCTCTTGTTACTTTTCCATTCATATTCTGTAATATCAGGTGCTGTATTGCCTAACTCTGGTAATTCTGAAATGGAAAGTGAGGGGTCAGTATTGTTGTCAAAACTGAAAAATTCACAGGAACAAAGCAGAACGCAGGCACTAGGGAAGCAAACGTGCCAAGGCCACACGCAGACAGCGCTTCTGTCTGGTATTCTACATGGATCCCTTTCAACTGCAGAAAAACAAACAAAACCCGCCCAACCCCAAAACAAAACAGAAGACTACAAGAAGGAACCGCATCCTGCGTTTCCAAGAGAACGGGTACCTTTTCTGCCCTAAAACTAATTACTTATTTATCATGAAGAAAGCACCCATTACCTGATACCTTAGGTTGCACAGCGCTACACACAAAACATTCCATTTGGTTTTGGTCTAAAATTTACGTGTTCTTCAAAGTGACTGCCTGCCTGCACTCCAGTTGTAAACCAAACGATTAGATCACGTTCTACCTACTTGCCAAAGGAGAATGCAGTCACGAGCTGAAGCAAAAGACTCCCAGACACACTGTAAGTGCCAACCTTTGGGTGGTACCCACAGCTCAGGACGTGCTGTAGTGCTGGACAAGTCAGTACAAAGCTGAGACCCAAGCAGACGCCGAGAACATGCATTAGCCCCCAGTAAAGGCAAAGAAAAAAAGGAAATAGAAAGAAAAAAAAAGAGGTAAAAGAATAGCTATGAGTGAAGTGGCCTAGCAGAGAGATATGAATTCACAATGAGATATGAATCCATAATCTTGAGGTGACTTCATCAATCCAAACGACTGGGATGCTTCTGCACAATGAGAGACAACAGAGAAGTCACTGCCGAAAATGACACATACTCATCTTTAAGCCAGTGCACACAGCTGCTGGAAAACAGAGAGGTTTAATAATATCTGAGGCACATGCACCACAACAGACACCACGTTATCCGAGGTATTTTGCCGCAGCCATTGCAGGACTTTTCCTTCCTAATCCCTCCCATGCAAGTCATGGAATCCCGCAGGACCCCTTCGAGGTCCTTGCCCAGAAATGTACATCGCTGCAAATCTTATCCCTGTATGTGGAGCATCAAACCTGAACAAAATTAAAATGTGAATTACGCAACTGAAATAGGTGTGAGGGAAGCAAAAGAAGCAGCCTCAGTCCAGAAAGCCTGCTCAGCTCTTGCCAACTGAAAACTCCCAGGAGTCAGTTTTGCAGCCCTACAACAGCAGCTCCACGGGAACGAGAGCTACAGGAGCAACAAAGCCCCGAGGAAGGTGCTGAAGAGCTCGAGCGCTTGGACAGTCACAGCCCCTCGAGTTGGGAACCATCACCCACGTGTGTCTGAGGCTCACGCGGACACACACACGGCAGGAACCGAACCTGGGGGGGTGCAGGCGTCGGCCGGCGACTGAACGAAGGTCGAGCGCCTTTTGGTGGGCATGGGCAGGGCCATCTTCTGCTCCTTGTGCTTGGCCAGCGCCGCCTGGACGGCCTCCGTGTGGATATCTGCAGGGCAGGAGGTCACACGCTCAGTTTTGCAACAGCGGAGGAGGAAGAACAACACACAAATCTCACACACATGCTACACCACCGTACGCAACCCCCCGTCCTACAGCACCTTCCCTGACAACTACATTTTGCCATCTCATGAGTAACGTTTCCTTTTTTTTTTTTTCCCCCACCCCTTTTTTTCTTTTTTTATAACAGGGAAACTGAGGTTTCTGAAGTTAGCAACCTAATCGCAGGGCCGGGTTTTTCAGCCTGGAATCTTCTGGATTAGTCATTATATTCTTGTGTCTCTAGCAACATTTATAAAAACTCCAACCCTACCAGATTGTTCCTCTCAACCGAAGATTATTCTAAAATATGCTTGTGTGCAATTTAAAATATGCACATAAGCTAACAGCCTATACAGCCCCAGGTGCAACTCCGGTCTCTAAACTGACAAATTCTGAGCCAGTTGTCTGATTTAGGAAAAACCTTATGTTCAAAAACCGGAATGGATGCAGATTTCATGTAAATCTTGGAAGTTACTAACTGTGCCTGTAAATACACGCTGATTAGTAACTGAAACAGGCTGGGACTCGAGGCTTCCATCCCTCTGCAAACATCCAGAACTCTTTAAAGGAAGATATATCACTGGTGATGAGAAGACAACTTATTAAAAAACTGCTATGACAAGGGAGAGCTCATCTACATTAATTTCTCAGATTAATGTATTTTGTTTTTTCCCCAAACCAGAAAACTAGGCTCTTCTAACGCTCTATGAAATGGTGGCGTAAGACAGCAGTGTTACCAGAGAACGTGTATTTGATATACTTTATTTTCCCCTGCTGAAAAGAATACTTAAATCTTGCTAATGCAAAGCGAAAAACAAAACCGGGTGGAAACAAAAAAAAAAAAAAAAACAAAACAAAAAAAAAAAGGTGCTGCCTCCTCCCTGCTAGTCAGCCACTTCTGCTGCTCTTTGGAGGCACTTTAAGCACAAACTGAGAAAGCCAGCTCTCATTCTCCAAGCTCCTAGAGCAGTTATGCCCAGGAGTCACTAATTCCAGGAACAAATTATTACCTGTCGCTTCACTGAATCTGGTTACCTACAGACGTGGTTAAAAGCAGCTTTCCATCCTGTGAATGACTCGCACTGAATAGTTGCATTCGAGCCAGAAAATCAAGGTGTCAAAAAAGTGACTTGCTTTTTCCGTTTAGCATTCTTTCTGATTCAGCAGCTGCAGTCCTACAGGCCTGATGTTTCTCTACACAGAACCACCAGGGCAGGACTTTCCATCAGGGACAAATCCTAAGCTCGATTCCTCGAGAGGACACAGTACACTCTTCCTCAAGAACAGGAATCCCAGGTGGAGTCTTGCCCCTGGCCCTTACCAGATCGATAACGTTCATCTCTGGCTCCCCCGGAGCGAGCTCGGTGAAATTTGGATGAGGAAGAGGATGATGATGCTGAGGCTGGAGTCGCCGATGGAGCGGGCATCTGAGTTCTGGATTCCTTCTGTAACGCTGGATCGACCCCTGGAAAACAGTCGACAGGTGTCTGAGAGCAGGAAACAAGAGCAGCTTTTTCTGACCATACTCTTCCCTTTTAGCACAGAATTACAGGATTTTCCCCCCCTGTTTGGTTGTTTGTTGGGTTTTTTTTTGTAGTGAAGTGGATTAATATAAATTAGTATATTAATACATGTGTCTAATTATACCCTAAGCAATTAAGAAATACCTGTCCCTTTTTTGACCTTACTCTTTTTAAAGAGGTTTTTTTTTTTTCCCAGCTTTTCTCTTTTTAAGGGGTTCTTGAAGCAAGAGACAATTTACAACAAACCTGAAGCAGGTGCCATAACACACAATACCACATAACCGGAGTAACCCATCAGGGATGGGGAGATGAGGTCACCCTTAAAGAATCCGTTACATAAAACAAGAGCAAAGGTGATAAGATCCAGAGAAGTCGTGATACATGACACGGTAGATAAGGCAGGTTAAGTTCTACACTTCCACACACTTAACAGGGCCATTTGCAACGCACTGCGGTGTTTTGCGATTTGGTATCTGTATGGTTTGCTCCCGATTTTGCCACGGCTCCAACGGGAACAGGACTGCACCATACTCACATTAACGCATTAAGTCAGAAGAGAATTCTCGGTTTAACTGGTGGTAAAGCTTTTGGACATCATCATCACTCACACCAGACTCCTTGCAGACACCACTGCTACGGGCACAATGAGTCAAGGGGTTTAATGCAGTCAAGTCGTTATTCCAAATTAATTTTGAGGTGAGAAGAGCAAACCCATGGAAAAACACGTTGAGAAGCTGGGTTTGTTACTCAGTGCTCCACTGGCCAGCGCATGTTATTGACAGGAAAAGCAATAATACACCAGCGGCAAGAGCCTCAGCTGTTCACATTAATTAGAAAACCAAGCAGACCTCTAGTTGTCCAGGTTCTGGCTCCTTTCAGTGTGACAAGAAGTGAGTGGCTTTATCATCCTAGAGAAGTTTGGTTTGTCCATGAATACAGGGAGCTAAAGAGATAATCTGGATCAGAAATTGTCGTTTTACGTAATTCAGCACGGGGCACTAGGAATTGTTGCTACTGGAGTCTCAATTCTAAAACGAACCCGTGTGTCAGTGGGAACTTTTTAAAAACTAAACCCCAAAGGTCATATAGCCGTAACTACCTTCGGGTTGTCACCTGAAGTCATGCAAAAAGAAGAACAACTGCGTCATCTAAACACGCGCCGCTTATGGATTCTCACAAACTACCGAAGGGTCAGAGGAATGAAGAGGAAACCACAAATCCTGGACTCCAATTCCAGTTATGCCGCTTTCTTTGCGTGTGGTTTTAGGTAAACAACTTAAGGCGAGCGCCTCAAGCTCAGGGAACTCACAATACTAGCAAATCACACCTAACTAGCTGCAGAAATCTTCAGCATCTCCTGTACCGACATCCTAGAGAGCAGAGTATTAAACTGATACTGAGCTTGTATTAACGATTCCTTAAACTGTCATCGTGCCAAGGAATCGGAACCTGTAGTTGAAGAGGACGTATCCTGCTAGCCAGAAATTCTCAAACCATATTCGGGGGACAAACAACTGCTCCCCATGTCCCCTGGTATTTTGGGGGTATCAAAACCTCCAACGCAGAGTTCTGTATCGGCTTACCCAAACAGAACCATCGCTGGTACAAAGCAGCCAGCAGCACAAAAAGGTAGAACGGAAGAGAAAAAGAGGCTCCTGCACTTTCGGTGCAGGACCTGTTCAGAGCAAGACTTTTCACTTCAAAATTTCGGTTTCCCCACATCCAAAAGAATCAGAGTTTGTGTCCCCTCCCCGTCATCCTGGACCACGTTTCACCGATAACTAGTTTAACATCTTTGTAGCACGTTATCCGCCTTAACCAAAACCAAGAGTTTTATTTTGATCCAAAGACAACTTCACAGCCTGAGAAGAAAAGCTTAATGCTTTCCGATCATTTGAGTATTTACAGATTCAAGTACCCACTAGATGTCAGCAGCAGATTTAACACTATTTAAAATGAATTATTAAATTCATATTCAGTCGTGTCTCCTAAGTCCTGCAAAAGCATCTCATCCGCTCTGCAGGGCACCACAAGGCAAACACGACATTCCCTTTACAAAGGGATCAAACGTGTCTCGAAGTGACAGGACACACCAAGAGCGAGCTCTCTGGTTAAACATTTTGCCATGACACAACAACATGTTACAGGAGCCTAACAAAGCGTTCAGGCACCGACGAGGGAAAAAGTGTAAAGCTACGGTAAATCACAAACGGTCGTACAACAAAGCAACAGAAGTGAGCTAAGCCTGGCAGGTGACAGGTGACTTATTTAGCATTCTCTTTATAATAATCCTGCTGTAGCTGCCGCTTCTGCTGGCAGGATCTGAATCTACGGAGACGTGAAGAATAAATTAGTTTGGATTTGCTTTTGAAGGATGCTACAGATTTTTTAATTGTCCTTAGTTTTTAAGGAGAATTGACTGCTCTGTGATCCCTACGCTCCGACAGCAGATGATGTTTGATGATTTAGAGAATCTGAGATTTTTTTTCCTAAAAAAGATTTTTAGATTAGAAGAACAATTATAAGCATCGTGTATGATCAGTGAGGATAAATGTTTCCATTAATAACAAGGACAGCAAGTGCTAGGTTCATCTGACAGAAGAAAAGCAGCAGGCAAACCTGTTATTCTGCTGGTTTGCATACAGAATTGAACAGAAGTGCTAGTGTTGGACTGGCTATTCCTCGTAACAAGATGATTTTTTTTTTTTTTTTCCTTCAAAATCCTGTCAATCAGCAGCTCCAGTAGCTAAGGTTTACCCGTCAGCCTGAGCAGCACTTCCAGCAGCCAGGGGCCAGCCTGGCTCAGCAGCAGGCAGGGCTGCACGGCTCAGCGTGATTGCTGCTGCCTTCCAGGGCTGCGGAGGCCGAGAACTCACCAGGCTGAGGATGCTCGGAGTCTTCTGCAGGAGTTACTAGCTAGATGGATCTTAATTCTGCCCTGTACAAGACATGAAGGAAGAATTCAGGTGCTCCATTGATTTAGTCCTGGCTACTATTTCCAAGAGGGAGAAATTTATTTCCTAGAGTCAAGCGGCAAGCTTTATTTGCAACTGTGATACCCCTCAGACTGAATACGGATGAAAGTAATTCCTCATTTGTGGTAGCTGCAAAGTCAGGTCTTGTAAACGGGTAAAACTCTCTAAACAACACTAAGCTGGAGCGCGCGTGCACGATCTACAGGTTGAGACAAAGCTGCTTTATCGCGGGTCACTCTTCCACATCAGCTCTCACTTGAAACAACGTGATGCTGTGAGACAGGGGTGGGGGCAAGAAATAGAAAGGCAAAACTTTATGGTAGAGTTCTGCTGACTTACTGTCAGTCTGCAACACACAGGGTGGCAGGAAGGACTCGTCCGAGACAGGAAATCTATGACAGCCCCCTTGGGAAGCAAAGAAATGTGCCACGATTTCGCAGAAACGAAACGCTAAATAACAGAATCTGCGTTCCCACCTTGCGCTATCCAGCGGTAACACGAAGCAGAAAACCCCACAAAACAGACGTTAACAGCTTAAATTCACCGATCAGTTAAATTAGCTTCGGATGTAATCCATCTCAACAGGTTTACAAGCATATTACTCCTGTCTTCCAACACCCTTCCCCGAGGTACTCTACCACGAGCCCCACCACATTCATTTTACGTTTTCAATGCAAACAGTTAAGTACTCCAATGTTTAACATTTTTAATTTTTTTTTCTTTTTTTTTTTGTCATCATCACGAGAATAGGAAACAGGAGCAAGAGCACTGTAGCAGTTCTATAAAGAGGTTCTGACAGTGAATCAGTGCTTAATGAATATAATTTCCTTTACACATTCGCAGAGGAACTGAACACTTTATCTTAAATAGCAAGAAAACGTACTCCGCCAGCAGTCTGTGTGCAAGGGCTGCTAACTTGGGCAGAAGGCATTCCTGTGTCTGCATTGTTTTGAGCTTAAAAAGTTGAGAATGCGTTTCCAGGTTTGCAGCAACTCGCATGGACAGGAACTCTTTCCCTAGGCAGAAGTCTGCCTGCAGTCTGCAGCAAAACCTAGATTCAAGAGGTGGTGGGTTCCCTACCACCATCTGTCAGCAGTTCCTCTGGCCTTCTAAAAAGTATTTGTCAAAAGAGCAAAAAATAGAAGTGTCCCGCGTCTTTTTAACAGGCGTCAAAAGAGACTCTGAGGGTGAAACCGTTGGTGTTACTCCAAAAAAAGAAAAAAAAAAAAAAAAAAAAAAAAGCAACTTCTCCAAGCCCTGAGAGCCCAGGTTGGTTCAGAAGGCCCCTTACGGCTGAGCTGCAGTTACAGAGGTTCAGAGATCCATGAGATCAGGCGAGCCCCGAGCACTCCTGCCCTCCCTGGTTCCAACCGCGCTGAAACCCGCAGCGCTCCCGAACGCGCCCAACCCGGGAAGCTGCTCAGAAAACTTCCGTCAAAGCCTTCTGTGCAGCAGGAACAACGCTGGTATCGCAGCTCCATCGCCCCAGTGAGTTCCAGCTACAGAAATGGATCTCGCAGCAGGAAAACATGTATCTTTAGGTAATTAACACTGTGGCCTTAACTCTGAAATAACGAGGCAAGCTCCCAGAGGCAATGTGAACGGAGCGCGGAATTAGCAATCAGAATCTCCCAAATTCTAACGCTGGCATGCCCTGACACGTCACCGTACCTACCTTCCTCTCACTTCACATCTACGAAATGGAGACGATCCATCAGCCAACGCCACCAGGAAGGTGCTTGGAGAAACGTCCCGTGCTCAATGCAGGAGTAAACACTATTATTTTTTTTGTTGTTGTGGACTCCATTTAATTTTCTGCTCGTTTAACAAGGTGACCTGATTCTGTAATCCCTCCTGCAGGACGACTTCGACAGGGTTTTTACAACAGGAAGATTCTCAGACAGAGGGGCAGCTGGCTCGAAGATACAGAAAAAGCTGGAGGGCTGAGCCAGCCCAGCAGTCAAAATGCCATCTTAACTGGTGACCTCCCATCAGCCTCTTCCTGAACTCTGGCTCATTCTGCAGCTTCCAAAAGTGTGACAATTAAAATAGCAAGGCCACAGACAACCTTGCCAAATGCTTTTTTTTTTTTTTTTTTTGCCTCCCCCCCATCCTAATTAACGTTTTCTGAAACAAACTAAACGTGTGCGAAGTGACAGGCAGGAGGGACACGGGGTCACGTCGCCAGGTGAGAACTTGTAGAGCTTCAGCCTCCCCCGGACTCCAGGACAAAAGCAAGTGTGCCAAGAAGGCACCTGAACGTACAAAAAGGAGCCACGTTTCCTTCTGAGGTTCAAGATCCACCGGTACACGCGTCGGACTGCGAAACCTGCTTAACAATTCTCTACTTAGGAAGAGCACAAAGAGGGGTTAGTCATGTGAATTGGGTTTTTTTTTGTTTTGTTTGTTTCTTTAAATAACAGACACAGATCTGATACAAAGGCAGCAACCCCATGGTCAGAGATTCCTACCGCATCCTGGTTAACCACCGGGAGGCAGTCGGCAGTGTTCAGTTGTTTCTAACAAACTCTCAACTTTGAAGGCTAAATACCAGTTTTTGCTTGCCTTGCTGCCCCGGGAGGGTCAGCTCCCACGGAACACGCACTTCTGCTGGGCGGGTGAGGCTTGGACAAGAGAACAGGCACCAGCTTTGGTTGACTACACAAGCGAAACAACGTTGAGGAACAACTGGGATGGAGGAGACCAGGAACGCAACCACCAAGTGTTTTGGAAGGGCAGAGTCTCGAAGTTACCACATGACAGTAGCAGAGTCCTTTTATGTTCCTCAAGCAATTGCTTGAAGTCAACTGCTCTCATTTCAACAGAGAAAAAAAAACCAACAAACGAACCCATGCGATCTTTCCCCAACGGATGCAGTGCTGATGGTCAATAAACGCACTTTCAGCCTTTGCTCTTTTTAAAAATTTTTTTTGGCAGTAGTTCATTCTCAGTAAATTACAGTAAGTCCGGTCATGACTGCCTGTCATACCCATTCACTCCCCAAACTGCTACGAGCCAGACACATTAGTTTTTAGTGGTTAAACATCTCAGCATATCAGCAGAGCAATTATTTTGGGTAAGCATCCCCATAATAATTATTAGGCATACTTTCAGCCATGTCCTTCAGTTTACAATTATATGTAATTATCCTACATACAATCAGCTCTACTGCTAAGGATCTTTGAACCGAAAGGAACAGATGTAAACCAAGTACATGAATTCAGCTTCTCTGGTAAAATAAACCAACAAATTATGAAAATTCTAATGTTTCTCCAACAAAGAATTAAGATAGCTGGAAGGAGGATGCGGTACAGAGCAGTTAAGTCATTTTTAAGAAGGTTTCAAGAACGGTTCTCGAGGACCTTCCACTTCACAACTGATTCCAAGCCCTTGAGTTCCCGGCGGACGAGGGAGTAGGACACGATTTATGTATGTGGGAGCTAAATCAAGGCACACAAAGTGTTAAAATAAACAGCACTCCACAGAGACCCACCAAGCAGCTCTGGAACTACCAGGAATCCCTGGAGTTCGATGTCAACAAGCCAACTAGAGACAAATTAGCGCCCATGGCTTCACGGCATCCGCGCAGTCTCTGCCGTGTAATTACTAGATGGCTGAGGAAACACGTACGAAGCGGAAGAGTTCAGAGGTGGCAAAAGGAACCTCCACAGATCCCCGTCACATCAAGGCTATGCAAAAAGCCGGCTGAAACAAGCACCTACCTTGGGTTTGTGGAACATACGGAGCCAGAAGTTTCGCTCTCTTCTTCTCATACCCCTTTTGTGTGATGTCCCCTAAAACCAAGGAAAGAAAAGTCATTTAATTACATCCTCGATTTTTTTTTTTTTTTCCTGTCTGAGGTCTGTCTGCTTTTCTTTTCAGTGATCTGAAGGTTTCACCTGAACACAGCGATGCATATGCTGAAGAAAACCCGAAACCAGAGAAATGCGAGTGCACGATGATTTCAAAGCCTGCGCATTACAGACCTTCTGCAGTTTCCCTTGGGATCAGATACACGCTGCGTGTGATCATTTGAATCAGAACAGCTATCTAAACGGGATATCAAAGCAATGAAAACCTAAAAAGGGAAACTCAAAAGGGCACGAAAATATTCTGTAACCACAAAGCCAACTTAGGCTCACAAAATGGAGTAATTCCCCGACACGAGAGCAAAGGGAAAGTGCAAATTCAGAGCCTTGTCTTAAACTAATCGAATCGAGAACAGCTTTTAGCAAATAAAGTGAGTCCACTGCAGGAGGTGTTTAGGGCACCTCCGAAAGCTGAGGCAAGGATGAACAGAGCCAACTTCTAGACTACTGCCCAGCAAACACACTCTGCAATCCAGAAAATCAGATTTTTAATCACGTCTAGTGGATATTCAGGGAAAGCAAGCTGGGGGGTTACGGGTTTTTTAACCTGGTAGTAGCTGTAATTCCACTGTTTGCCTACTAGTAGGAGCACGCAGAAGATAAGATGCTCGAGCTCCACAGAAGCAAAAACTCCAGAAGAAAATAAGTATTAGTAAACTTTTCCCTTTTTTTTAAAAACAACTAATCTGTCTGATCCTGGAGACGTACCATCTGGCAGCCGTCTTTTGTTTTAATTTCTCACATTACATCAGAACCACAAGAAAGACTGAAACCTTGAAGGGATTAAAACAAAAAGCCCTGCAGCATTTCGAGCCTTTTTGTAGCCTGACCTGCACTTGTAACCTCTTATCTCTTGGGGCCGAAAGATTGGAAGCGATCAAACACACAGCAATAAGAAAACAGAATTATTTGATGTTACTTCTCAAGCTAAAGCTAAGCCCGTATTTGTGTTACGACGAGAAACTAGCGATCACAAATGACACGTTTTCTTTGCTGGGAGCCTGATTATTGCAAGGCAACGGAGTACCAGACACTGAGCAGCACAGGCCGCTGTATTTGCTGCCTTCCATCCATCTGCAGCATCCTTCTGCCAGACGTTTCCCACCCGATCCGGAGGGTCGCGGCAGAAAAGGTGATGAAAGGGGTTTAGGCACTAAGCCCTCCTCCCACAACCAGCCTCTGCTGCAACGTTCCGGCTAACTGGTCACTTTGGTTATAAAGGTGATTTTGCAGTACGGAACTGCTTGGAAAGGGAAGGAGCTTCCCTCCTTTGCGCTGGACAGTCAAAATCTCAGCGTCATCTGAAAAAACCCGGACTAAAAGTTTTGAAGCTGACACGGGCACTTGCACTGCTCGGCGGAGGGCGTGCATTTGCCCTCAGAATTTTATCTCACTCCTCTTACACTACGCTTGAGTCAGGCCCCGACAAGTCCAAACAAATCCAGTGAGTGAAAATTAGAATATCCATGAAGCACTGAAATGCCAAGCAAAGCATTAATTTTAATGCTCGACTGCAATACGCAGCTCAGTCAAATTAATCCAGCTCACAAGACAGGTATGCTGCCAGGGTAAGAAGAGTACATACACCTTCAAAAAAAAAACAAGGATGACGTTCTGACCAACCGCATGAGCGACAAAACCCACCCCGTTTGCCGAGATCCGCCTCCCCGTGTTCAGAGGCAGTTTTCATTCTCCCCGTTGGTTCGTTTGGGTAGCAAAGAGAGCAGGGTGACTGCCACTTCGGGAAAAACAAACCTGCACAGAAAGGGGGAGGCGTTTTCCCTTCTAAACCAACCCACAGATTTGTTTGTAGCTCGTTACTCCGTGATTAATTTCTCCGCCAGATTTAATTGGACTCTTGACATTGGTGGTTACACGCTATACGGAACGAAACGCGTGCCACAGAAAACTGGTGGAATTACTAAGGAACACCAGTAGGTCAGGAACAAATATCAAATTGAAGTATCACCACTCTGGTTTATGCATGGGGAAGCAAAGAACTCTCTCCCGATCGCTAATATCCCCCCAATAAACCCAACCTAGCCTCACACCAACGCAAGGCTTAGGGTTCGTGGATTTGCAGTTGGAAGCCCGAAGCAGAGGCGAGATACCACTGAAAACCAAGAAAGTAACTCGGGCTAAAACACTATTTGCAAACTCAACAACCAAGCGACGCAGATCATTTACATTATTGCTTGAAAAAAGGATTCTTGGAGCATAAGCTGCTAAGAAGATAAAAAGCCTAATGCTATTTGCCAAGAGCAGGAAAGGTCCAACGAGCAAAATTCAAGCAACAAAAACAAGGGCGATAAATTCCTGGGACTTCCCTGTAGCACTGTGTCTTCCCACTGCTGAATTTCCACGTGGTTTGTTAAAAATAAAAATAAAACCCAACCGTTATTTTGACAAACAGACTGGCAGTCTCAAGCACCTGCCTGCAGAATTAGAAACCGTAACGCTTAAATTTTTAGACCAGCCCTGCTGAAGTGGAAGTAGGCAGGAGGGACTGAAAAAAGTTAGAAGAAACGGGTAAGTTTGAGTTCTTTGTTTAAGGATAGGCACCCGTGCAGGTTAGAAACAGAAAACAATTATCTGAAATAAAGCTCCAGCAAGACACGGGGACTAAGACTCTCAAAAAAACCCTTGTGTGTAGGCATGGATGACAGGTGTAAAGTCACCTCAATAAAATTACGATCCAATTACTACAACCACAACAATGATGTCCCAGTTGATATCTCAAGCCTTGGAAGCAAGTGTCCCTTTAATACGTCGCACGAGTGGAACGAATTTATTGCATAAAGCCTCTTCTCTCCAGTCATACAGTCTCCAAATTTGGTATCAAGCCACGGAGATGGAAACCACAGATTCACTAAGAGAGGGATTTTCTTTCACCCGATTCCTTTTGTGCTGATCTGCAGGAAATGGAAAGAGCTAGATCCAAACATAAACGCGGACTTCCTCGCTGAGCATCATAAATTACTGCAACAGGAAAAGAACCAAGACAATAGGGACTGCGATCTCAAGAACCATTCGCTCCTGCTACACCAACCCGGTAAATCAACCCCGCTTCCATAAATCAAACACTTTGTGACATTTGGTGTGTTAAATCCTCCCCGATAGCTGAAAAAAAAACAAAACAAAACAAAACCCACCCAAGAACCACAACCCCTCTCTACACAGATGCAAGACACAGCACTACAAAAGAAAAGCATCAGCAAAGCAAATGAGAGCCGACGATTTAGCTTGAAAATGGCGCTAGTGTTTGTTCATTCCGAGGAAAGAAATGACAAACACAAACACTGCTGAGACATTCTTTTGGCCTTCTCCCAGCTACAAGTGTTCAGTTGTGGCCTGTGTTTCTCTCTATCCCAGGCCAGGCACGGTTGTGCCTCCGCATGCTGAGGGGGCCCCGCTGAGGAAATGGGAGTCCTGTCAGAAACCTTCCGTTTCTTTTCACTCAAGACCCCTTTTGCCGTAAGGAACGGTGAGATTCTTGTCTGTCGCGCTCTTTCCTACAGTCTCAAAAGGTGATGTCAGGAATCTTTAGGGTTTTTTTTGGGGTGTTTTGTTTTGTTTTTTTTTAAAGGACACACGAGTGAGCTAAGCTGCTGGTTGCTGAAGCAGCGGAGGAACAGGCTCCCCTTCCTGCACGCCTCTGCTGCGGGCAACCATCAGCTCAGGTGCAGTGATGGCTTCAGCTTCCGCAGACCACCAGTTCCTTGGGACAGACTGAAGCCCACCACCACCACCACAACCCAGTTCACCGGCTCCTCCACACACCACTGCTCCCCTCACTGTGCTACCCAAACTCCCTTGTCCCACCCCGACCAACACAAAGTTCTTTCTAACACCTTCACTCCTCAACTCATCCCAACACACGAGAGATTTTTCTCCTGCGGAGCCGCCAGCTCCATCTTCCTGCTCATTTTCAGCGTGGTTGATGGCCCCGCTCCAGCCAGCTTCACAGAGCAGGTCCTCTGGCAGGGGGCTGGCACTGGTGCGGCGTTGCTTCAGTAATTCCTCATCTCGCTAGCAAGCACAACACTGTTCCTCTCTTCCAACCCTCTCCTCCCCTTCCCCTTAATCTTTTCTCTGACAGTTTTAAAAGAAGAACTTGAAGAAATCAAGACACGGCAGGTCTTGCAAATACACAGAAGATGAGGACTCAGAGTAGGAAATAACTCTAGATTTATGGTTTGCAGAAGCAAGATCAATCAAGGAGCAACAATTTCTCCTTGAGACCAGTAACCCTGACTGCAGACATCTCCGTGATGAAATCCAAGGCTTGTTTGTAATTAAACGAGGGTCCATCTGAGAAACAGAATTCCTGAGAAAAAAAAAAAGCAAAAAAAATGCCTTCTGAGACACCTTTTTCATGGTTCTCCTCATTCCCTCAGAGGAAATCAGCCTCGGTCCTCATCCTGCAAATCCAACCTGGATGTTGCGACCGTCGAGAGTTGCAAGAGAAAAGAAGAACTCGGCAAAGACAGAAAACAGAGGGGTTACAGAGAGCAGAGGGAAGCCCAGGGAGCTACAGCTGATCAGCCTCCATGTTCCACCTGTATTCAAATCGTGCAATAGAGAAGCCTGAAGCTTCAGGAGTCTCACCGCCCTGTGACGCCAGGCTGCTTTTTAGCAATTAGAGTTGATGATCTATTCTAAACAGTGGTGCTCAATCAGTGCAAGGTGGTAACACCAGCTAATCCTGCTGCGCTCAGACAATGCTCCTCTTTCAACATCCTTGCTCCCCTTCCCCCCATGGAATGAGAACACTGAATCATTTACTGTCTAACAAAACCATAATTACTACAGTGGAGAAATTAAGGAAAATGATCACGTAGTGCACAGCATCTCCCCAACAAAGCCTCCAAACACTTGACTGTATCAGGCAAAAGATTCAAATTTGAAAGCGGTTTGTATG